AATGACATCTTTCCTGCCTTTTAATTAATGCGAGGAAGCTGGAATAAGTTGTAATGGGTTTTCTATGGTGATAAAACGAACTGAAGAGTCACCTTTGGGGCTCTTTGCTGCACAAATTGACTAAATGGCAACGATGGATTTGCACRGGCAAAACACAAGGATCTTGGAAGAACTAAAGACAGATGTCAGCAGAGGAAGGTCTCTTCTTGAGGGACTCATCATGTGACATCCAGCAGCTGAAAGACCATCAAGTTTGGGAGAATTTCATTTACAAAGTTCAGTTTGCTGAGAGATGGGTTTGTTAACTCTTAACGTGTGGCCCTCCTCTCTCCCATCTGTTTTACCTGTCCCACCCTAGATTAGAGTTAAAGGGGGAGAGGAGGCATGGCTGCGTTTAGAGACTTGTGTGAATTGCATTCTGGGCCGAGCTGCTGGCTGCGGAGGGAGGGCCGCAGAGATGTAAAATAACGAAATCACGTCCTACATTGGGAGAACGAGAGAGAACAGGCCTTTGAAGTAGTTTTGCTGTGAAGGCATTTAAAAGAGTGAAATAATTGGATGCTGAAGGGCTGGTATCAGCAAAAGCAAGAATGCAGAGCTGGGTTTTTCTGTGAGTGCGAGGCGCGTGGAGGAGGTGAAGTCTGGTGACAGGTGTGTCATCCTAATGCAATTACATCCGAGGGATTTTTAATATTTTCTTTTTCGCTACCCCCGTGCATTCTGGATAAACAAATGTAGTTTTTTTTTTATATTGAGGAATTGTTTCTTGGAAAGAAGCCAGTTCATCAGCAGGTACCCTGAAGATATTGATCCTATTATAGTCCACGCTGTATAAAAACACGCTGCCTCCCTGCCTGGTTTCACCCTGATGGCTTGATGAGGAATGGATGTTTGAGAGAAAAATAAAATAATGTAGCAGAAAGGCTGAACTCCATCCCATTACTTACTCAGTAATTGGCCCATAGTCTGAACTCTAGATGGGTGAGCACGAGCGGGCTCAGACTCATTCTTCTTTGTTAACTTCCGAGCAATTAACTGGAGTAAATTTACAGTGTTTGACCAGTATGATATTTCACAGGCCATTTGCCATCATTTGAATTTGTGTGTGCTTGTAATTGCTTGTAAATTGTTGTGCTGAAAAGCAGCAAAGGAAAAAAAGTTTTACTTGGTTTTATTTGTTCAAATCACTGTTTAAATACAGTGGTGATAATGTGCTTCACTTTTGGGGGATTTCTATCATTATTATTTTCTATATACTTTACCAAAAGCTGTGTATACAGTATAAAACTATAAATTATATGTTAAAAACACAACTCTCAAAGAAAAAAAGTAATTACCCATATGCAATGTTTTAAAGATTTTTGCACAAGACAATACTTACAGTACATAATGTACGTAAATAAGAACTTTTTTCATTACTATCATGATAAATATATACAGCAGGTAAAATAAGTATTGAACACGTCACRATTTTTCTCAGTAAATATATTACTAGAGGTGCTAATGACATGAAATTTTCACCAGATGTTGGTAACAACCCAAGTGATCCATACATACAAAGAAAT